GATAAACACCAGACCCCGCCCTATACCCCCTGTACACCTAGATAACACCAGACCCCCCCCCCCCTTCCTATACCCCCTGTACTCCTAGATAACACCAGACCCCCCTATACCCCCCTGTACTCCTAGATAACACCAGACCCTCCTATACTCCTAGATAACACCAGACCCCCCCCACCCCATACCCCTCCTATACTCCCGTACCTCCAAGATAACACCAGACCCCCCTATACCCCCTGTACTCCTAGATAACACCAACCCCCCTATACCCCCCTGTACTCCTAGATAACACCAGACCCCCCTATACCCCCTGTACTCCCTAGATAACACAGACCCCCCCTACCCCCTGTACTCCTAGATAACACCAGACCCCCCTATACCCCCTGTACTCCCAGATAACACCAGACCCCCCCTATACCCCCCCGTACTCCTAGATAACACCAGACCCCCCCTATACCACCTGTACTCCTAGATAACACCAGACCCCCCCTATACCCCCTGTACTCCTAGATAAAACCTGACCTCCTAACCCCCTGTACTCCCAGATACACCACCCCCCCCCCTATACCCCCTGTACTCCTAGATAACACCAGAGACCCCCCCTATACCCCCTGTACTCCTAGATAACACCAGACCCCCTGTACCACCCTGTACTCCTAGATAAAACCTGACCTCCTGTACTCCTAGATAACACCAGAACCCTGACCCCTATAACCCCCTGTACTCCTAGATAACACCTCAGACACCAGACCCCCCTATACCCCCTGTACTCCTAGATAACACCAACCCCCCCCTATAACCCCCTGTACTCCTAGATAAAACCTGACCTCCTATACCCTGTACTCCTAGATAACCTCAGACCCCCCCCCCCCTATACCCCCTGTACTCCTAGATAACACCCAGACCCCCCCTATACCCCCTGTACTCCTAGATAACACCAGACCCCCTGTACTCCTAGATAAAACCTGACCCTCCTATACCCCGCTGTAACACCTAGACCCCACCAGACCCCCTAGTAACTCCTATACCCCCTGTACCCTAGAGATAACCTCAGACCCCCCCCTATACCCCCTGTACTTCTAGATAACAACCTGACCCCCTATACCCCCTGTACTCCTAGATAACACCAGACCCCCTGTACTCCCAGATAAAACCTGACCTCCTATACCCCCTGTACTCCTAGATAACACCAGACCCCCCCTATACCCCCTGTACTCCTAGATAACACCAGACCCCCCTATACCCCCTGTACCTAGATAAACCTGACCTCCTAGATACCACCAGGTACCCCCCCCCCATACCCCCTGTACTCCTAGATAAAACCTGGACCTCCTATACCCCCTGTACTCCTAGATAACACCAAGACCCCCTATACCCCCCCCCTGTACTCCTCTCCTATAAAACACCAGAACCCCCCCCCCCCCCCCATACCCCCTGTACTCCTAGATAAAACCTGACCTCCTATACCCCCTGTACTCCCAGATAACACCAGACCCCCCATATACCCCCTGTAACTCCTAGATAACACCAGACCCCCCCCCCCCCCCATACCCCCTGTACTCCTAGATAACACCAGACCCCCCCTATACCCCCTGTACTCCTAGATAAAACACCTGACCTCCTATACCCCCTGTACTCCTAGATAACACCAGACCTTGACCTCCTATACCCCCTGTACTCCTATAGATAACACCAGACCCCCCCCCCCTATACCTCCTGTAACTCCTAGGTAAAGCCCTGAAACCTCCTATACCCCCTGTACTTCCTAGATAAAACCAGACCCCCCCTATACCCCCTGTACTTCCTAGATAACACCACACCAGACCCCCCTATACCCCCTGTACTTCTAGGTAACACCAGACCCCCCCTATACCCCCTGTACTCCTAGATAACACCAGACCCTCACCTATACACCCCCTGTACTCCTAGATAACACCAGACCCCCCCTATACCCCCTGTACTCCTAGATAACACCAGACCCCCCCCTATACCCCCTATACTCCTAGATAAAACCTGACCTCCTATACCCCCTGTACTCCTAGATAACACCAGACCCCCCCCATACTCCCAGATAAAACCTGACCTCCTATACCCCCTGTACTCCTAGATAACACCAGACCCCCCTATACCCCCTGTACTCCTAGATAACACCAGACACCCCCCCCCCCCCCTATACTTCTAGATAAAACCTGACCTCCTATACCCCCTGTACTCCTAGATAGCACCAGACCCCCCTATACTCCTAGATAAAACCTGACCTCCTATACCCCCTGTATTCCTAGATAACGCCAGACCCCCCCCTATACCCCCTGTACTCCTAGATAACACCAGACCCCCCCTGTACTACTCCTAGATAACACCAGACCCCCCTATACCCCCTGTACTCCTAGATACCAGGTTTTGGTGCAGATTGAAGGCTATTGACTTTTATGGGAACCGTTTGTAAACCACACATATTTGAACAGGATCAAGTCCTGACCTAAACCTGATGTAAACCTGGCATGAACCGCTGAACAAATACCGTGCCAATTAGCTGTGAAACCTGAGCTTCAATCCGCACCGCACATGTGTGAATCAGCAGAGTTCCTCTTTACATCAGAGTCTGCAGGATTTCCCCTTGAAGTGCCAATCTGAAGTAAAGGGGAAAGCTGTGGATCACGAAGTAAGGAGGAATGCTGCAGACTTTGATGTAAAGAAGAACTCTGATATAAAAGGGGTCTGTGATCACCAGAGCCCCCTTTTTAAATCAGAGTAGAAATGATTCCCCTTCAGATCAGAGTTCCCACTTACATCAGGGTTCACAGAGTTTCCCCTTGCAATGTTATGGGGGATCTTGCAGAATCTAATGTAAAGGGGAACTCTGAGGACACCAATTTAAGGGGGAAATTGTGTGTGTGTGTGTGTGTGTGTGTACACAACTCTGGTAACCACAGACCACGTTCGGCAGAGTGAATACACTAAGGTAAGCGAAGGGTTACTGATATAAAGAGAAACCGTTATATCAGTGTGTCTCCTTACATTATTGTATTCACTCCTCCTTACATGAGTGACCCGTCCTTCCCTCAGACTGGCCTGGAAGTACTGTCACTGACCTCTTCTGAGGTGCACCCTGCATGGCTTAGACGGTCCTCTTCGGGCTCAACCTTGGTGGCTCTGGCTTCATCATATATTCTCCAGTCCACACGTCTGACTTCTCCAATGACTCCCGTCCAGGTGACACTCCCGCTCTCCACTCCTCTCCAGGCTCCCCCATGATACAGGAGGTGGTCAGAGACTGCAGACATGATACAGGAGGTGGTCAGAGACTGCAGACATGATACAGGAGATGGTCAGAGACTGCAGACATGATACAGGAGATGGTCAGAGACTGCAGACATGATACAGGAGATGGTCAGAGACTGCAGACATGATACAGGAGATGGTCAGAGACTGCAGACATGATACAGGAGATGGTCAGAGACTGCAGACATGGTACAGGAGATGGTCAGAGAGTGCAGACATGATACAAGAGATGGTCAGAGACTGCAGACATGATACAGGAGATAGTCAGAGACTGCAGACAGGATACAGGAGATGGTCAGAGACTGCAGACATGATACAGGAGATGGTCAGAGACTGCAGACATGATACAGGAGATAGTCAGAGACTGCAGACATGATACAGGAGATAGTCAGAGACTGCAGACATGATACAGGAGATGGTCAGAGACTGCAGACATGGTACAGGAGATGGTCAGAGACTGCAGACATGATACAAGAGATGGTCAGAGACTGCAGACATGATACAGGAGATAGTCAGAGACTGCAGACAGGATACAGGAGATGGTCAGAGACTGCAGACATGATACAGGAGATGGTCAGAGACTGCAGACATGATACAGGAGATAGTCAGAGACTGCAGACATGATACAGGAGATAGTCAGAGACTGCAGACATGATACAGGAGATAGTCAGAGACTGCAGACATGATACAGGAGATGGTCACAGACTGCAGACATGATACAAGAGATGGTCAGAGACTGCAGACATGATACAGGAGATAGTCAGAGACTGCAGACATGATACAGGAGATGGTCACAGACTGCAGACATGATACAAGAGATGGTCAGAGACTGCAGACATGATACAGGAGATGGTCAGAGACTGCGGACATGATACAAGAGATGGTCAGAGACTGCAGACATGATACAGTAGATAGTCAGAGACTGCAGACATGATACAGGAGATAGTCAGAGACTGCAGACATGATACAGGAGATGGTCAGAGACTGCAGACATGATACAGGAGATGGTCACAGACTGCAGACATGATACAAGAGATGGTCAGAGACTGCAGACATGATACAGGAGATGGTCACAGACTGCAGACATGATACAGGAGATAGTCAGAGACTGCAGACATGATACAGGAGATAGTCAGAGACTGCAGACATGATACAGGAGATGGTCAGAGACTGCAGACATGATACAGGAGGTGGTCAGAGACTGCAGACATGATACACAGAGGTGGTCAGAGACTGCAGACATGATACAGGAGGTGGTCAGAGACTGCAGACATGATACAGGAGATGGTCAGAGACTGCAGACATGATACAGGAGATGGTCAGAGACTGCAAACATGATACAGGAGACGGTCAGAGACTGCAGACATGATACAGAGAGGTGGTCAGAGACTGCAGACATGATACAGGAGATGGTCAGAGACTGCAGACATGGTACAGGAGATGGACAGAGACTGCAGACATGATACAGGAGATGGTCAGAGACTGCAGACATGATACAGGAGATGGACAGAGACTGCAGACATGATACAGGAGATGGTCAGAGACTGCAGACATGATACAGGAGATGGTCAGAGACTGCAGACATGATACAGGAGATGGACAGAGACTGCAGACATGATACAGGAGATGGTCAGAGACTGCAGACATGATACAGGAGATGGACAGAGACTGCAGACATGATACAGGAGATGGTCAGAGACTGCAGACATGATAGAGGAGATGGTCAGAGACTGCAGACATGATACAGGAGATGGTCAGAGACTGCAGACATGATACAGGAGATGGTCAGAGACTGCAGACATGATAGAGGAGATGGTCAGAGACTGCAGACATGATACAGGAGATGGTCAGAGACTGCAGACATGATAGAGGAGATGGTCAGAGACTGCAGACATGATAGAGGAGATGGTCAGAGACTGCAGACATGATACAGGAGATGGACAGAGACTGCAGACATGATACAGGAGATGGTCAGAGACTGCAGAAATGATACAGGAGATGGACAGAGACTGCAGACATGATACAGGAGACGGTCAGAGACTGCAGACATGATACAAGCGGTGGTCAGAGACTGCAGACATGATACAAGAGGTGGTCAGAGACTGCAGACATGATACAGGAGATGGTCAGAGACTGCAGACATGATACAGGAGATGGACAGAGACTGCAGACATGATACAGGAGATGGTCAGAGACTGCAGACATGATACAGGAGATGGACAGAGACATGCAGGAGACATGATACAGGAGACAAGGTCAGAGACTGCAGACATGATACAAGCGGTGGTCAGAGACTGCAGACATGATACAAGAGATGGTCAGAGACTGCAGACATGATACAGAGAGACTGCAGACATGATACAAGAGATGGTCAGAGACTGCAGACATGATACAGGAGGTGGTCAGAGACTGCAGGCATGATACATGAGATAGTCAGAGACTGCAGACATGATACAGGAGATGATCAGAGACTGCAGACAAGATACAAGAGATGGTCAGAGACTGCAGACATGGTACAGGAGATGGTCAGAGACTACAGACATACTACAGGAGATGGTCAGAGACTGCAGACAGTTTACAGGAGATGGTCAGAGACTGCAGACATGATACAGGAGATGGTCAGAGATTGCAGACATGATACAGGAGATGGTCAGAGACTGAGGACATAATACAGGAGATGGTCAGAGATTGCAGACATAATACAGGAGATGGTCAGAGATTGCAGACATGATAAAAGAGATGGTCAGAGACTGCAGATATACTACAGGAGATGGTCAGAGACTGCGGACATGGAACTGTAAACTTTGACAGTAATATACAGATGGGAATTTGGGCACTGCGTCTTTGGGGGAACTAAAAACGAATTTAGGATGCCCTCCCACCTGTGAATTCACCCGCACTTTTTTAAAGATGTAAGAACCCCAGCGGGAGTTCCTGCGATTAGTTGCAGGAGAAAGCCTCATTGAAAGCAAATGGGAGGCTGTCAGTTTGATGCTTTTAATATTTCATTCACCAGTCCTAATAAATATGAGCATAGTCTCGCATGTAGCTGGACTCACTGACTAGTTGTAAATGCTACAAAGGGGGGTGTTTATAAAACATCTGCATGGCTGTTGGTCCATTGAATGTTCCAGGCTTTATTCTCTGCCATTTGAAGGTGTGAATACAGAACATACCACATTACGGCCCCTGGATGGGTTATAGGAGCACATATATTACCTGTGATACTCAGCTCTGACTACTGGCCATAAAGCCGTATTTTCCACATTAATACATTCGAATTGCAGGGAATATAACCGGGAAACTTCTGACTGCTTGAGGACCGCCTACCGCAGTTTTACTGCAGCAGAGCTGCCCCGCTGTGCCAGATCACCCACATGTACGTGATGGGGCACATCCAGGTACAGGGCCCATGTAAGCGCCAACCCATTCCCCCCTCCTGTCATTCGCTCCATCACAAGCCAATCAGCAGGTCTCAGGTTAATGATTTACAGGCCGGGACATGCTGATCGGCTTTCAGAAGCCTGTACTAACACAGGGCATTGAAAGGAGAGAAGAGATGTAGCTGTTTCTTCCTCTGTGCAAAGCAGAGATAACAGTCACATCTAGTAATAGAAGCAGCACACATTACACATTGTCAGTCACATAGTTCACCTCTTGATTATTATTATTATTATACAGTATTTATATAGCGCCAAAGGGTATGCTCAGCGCTGTACAGTAGCAAGGGGGACAGGACATGAGACAAGACAGTAACAATACAATACACGAGGGGTTCGAGGGCCCTGCTCTTTCGAGCTTACAATCTAGGAGGGAGGGGAAGGTGGCACAGGAGGAGATGGCTGTGGCGGATGGAGTGGAGGAGGTTAGGTGTTAGGTGAGGTTGGGGTAGGCTTCCCTGAAGAGGAGGGTGTTCAGGGTGCGCCTGAAGGTAAGGAGGGTAGGTGACAGTCTGATGGATTGGGGTAGGGAGTTCCAGAGGATGGGGGAAGTCCTGCAATCGGGCGTAGGAGGAGGAGACCAGGGAGCTAGAGAGCAGGAGGTCCTGTGAGGAGCGGAGGGCACAGGTAGGGTAGTATTTGGGTATCATGTCGGTTATGTAGTTTGGGGCGGCGTTGTGAATGGCTTTGTAGGTCAGAGTTAGCAGTTTGAATTTGATCCATTGGGCAATCGGGAGCCAATGAAGGGATTGGCAGAGGGGGGAGGCAGATGTGGAGTGGTTGGTGAGGTGGATGAGTCTGGCCGCTGAGTTTAGGATCGATTGGAGTGGGGATAGCATTCCTTTGTGTAGGCCAGTGAGAAGGGAGTTGCAGTAGTCCAGGCGTGAGATGATGAGGGAGTGTACGAGTTGTTTGGTGGTGTCTGGGGTGAGGAATGTGCGTATCTTGGAGATGTTGCGGAGGTGGAGCCTGAAAGATCTAGATAGCAGTTGGATGTGGGGTAGGAAGGAGAGGTGGGAGTCCAGGGTGACACCCAGCACTTTGGCGTGTGGAGTGGGAGAGATGGTGGTGTTGTTAGTAGTGATGGAGAGGATGGGGGGGGGGGGGGGGTAAGACCAGGAGCTCGATTTTGGATAGGTTAAGTTTCAGAAAATGGAGCGACATCCAGTCTGATATGTCGTTTAGGAGGTGGGCGATGCCCGTCCATGGTGTCTGCTCATAGGCATAGGAGTGAATACCATTTCCGCTGCGAATTTGCCCCTAGATGTTAACCCCTTTCTAGCCAGTGTCATTATTACAGTGACAGTGTATAGAATTAGCAATGATCAGTGTATTAGTGTCACTGGTGGTGTTAGTGACAATTAGTCAGTTCACACAAAGTGTCAGATTGCACGCCGCACTATCACAGTCCTACTATAAGTCGCTGATCGCTGCCATTACTACCATTTAGAAAAATAAAATAAATAATAATAAATATATATATACTCTTTGGGATATTTTATTTTATACAAAGGCATGTAGCAGAATACATGTTGGCCTAAATTACTGAAGACATTTTATTTATTAGATATGTTTTATAGCAGAAAGTAAAAACAGTTTTTTTTTTTCCCCAAAATCTTCAGTCTTTTTTCGTTTATAGAAAAAACAAAAAAAATTACCACCAAAGCAAAGCTGTACTTGTGTGAATAAATACTGTAAATTTAAATTGTGTGCAGTGTTGCAATTGTCAGCTAAATCAAGAAGTGCCGTAGAGCAGAAAATGGCCTGCTCATGAAGAGAGTAAAATCTTCCGGGGGTTAAGGGGTTAAATCCCATAATATAATCTAAGCTGACGACATGGGAATTCAATAAAACAAAAATATACCACCGTATGTTTCTTTGACACTGTGCCAGAAAACAAACCCAAAAAAGTAAATAAATAATCCAGGCTGCCTGTGTCCATGAGTGACATGCCATGGCACACATCCCGTCACCTCACTTGTCCTGAACACTTTCTATTGAATGCTCCTCATCCATGCTGTCTGCTCAGTCTGGCATAGGAGGGAATACCATTTCCGCTGCCAATTTGCCAAATCAGACACATGATCATCAAGAAAAATCTATTAGTAAATTGATGGAAGAAGCAACACAATCTCCTCCAAAGAATAGGAGTAGTAAGCTCCTGTGAAGTACACAGACAGTAAGGGCCGTCTAGCTGCAGTGCGTTCTCCCTGGCAGTTTAGTGCTTCCAGGAGGAAGAGGTGCCACGTCCAGCCCTGCTGCATGCAGCCGGTCAGTCTACAGAAGGCTGGAGCAGGGCTGAAGGCCGCACACCAAGCGGTGCCTTCCCCGGGATGTCCCCTCCCAGCAGGACACCCAATCAAGCAGATGCCGCTTCCGCCAGCTTCCCATAGAGGCGGACGAAGATCAGACCACTCTGTCATCCTCTATATATAGGAGACAGGAAGCAATGAGCATACATCACTTCTGGTTAGCCTGGATGGAAACGGCACCATTTTTAAATATGGAAAGTATTTGATCAGAGATCATGGTGTGAGTAAATGGTTTTATGGGCAGAGGACAGATCTGGGGTCTTACTGACCCCAAATGTCTCCATACAGAATACCTGTCACATGCCCATTGTTATCAGTGAT